TGTGTGTCTGTGTGTGTCTGTGTGTGTCTGTGTGTGTCTGTGTGTGTGTGTGTGTGTGTGTGTGTGTGAGAGAGAGAGAGAGAGATGGCTGTAATTTCTGCCTTTTACTCTCCTCACTCCATGCCTCTTCTACTTCACCTGGCTGGAAATCTACCTCCTACAGGGGTGGTGGAGCTCTTAGGGCTAAATGGATTAAAGGATATAGGGAGAAGGTGGGAACGGTACTGAGTTGAATTATCAGGCATGATCATACCAAATGGCCTATCCTGCTCCTATTTTCTTATCAATGAATATATTGCCTCTTGTAACATAAGTAACTGCATATAGAGATGTTTTTGAAGAATCAATCAAACCTGCATTCATTGTAATGAAACACAGAAGTTAAGAGCTGGAGGAGGCTTTTTGGCCCTTCGAGCCTGCTCTGCCATTCTTCACTCTCATGGCTGATCATCCAACTCAATAACCTAATCCTGCTTTCTCCCCATGACCTTTGATCCCATTCGCCCCAAGTGCTGTATCTAGTCGCCTCTTGAATACGTTCAATGTTTTGGCATCAACTACTTCCTGTGGAAATGAATGCCACAGGCTCACCACTCTTTGGGTGAAGGAGCGTCTCCTCATCTCCGTCCTAAATGGTCTACCCCGAATCCTCATACTGTGACCCCTGGTTCTGGACACACCCACCATCGGGAACAACCTCCCTGCATCTACCCTGTCCTGTCCTGTTAGAATTTTATAAGTCTCTATGAGATCCACCCCCTCATTCACCTGAACTCTAGTGAAAACAATTCTAACCTAGTCAATCTCTCCTCATCCATCAGTCCCACCATCCCCGGAATCAGCCTGGTAAACCTTCACTACATTCCCTTGAGAGCAAGAGCATCCTTCCTCACAAAAGAAGACGAAAACTGCACATAATATTCCAGGTGCGGTCTCACCAAGGCCCTGTATAACAGCAACAACACATCCCTACTCCTGTACTCGAAACCTCTCGCAATGAAGGCCAACATACCATTTACCTCTTTACCACCTGCTGCACCTGCATGTTTACCTTCAGCAACTGGTGCACAAGGACACCCAGGTCCCACGGCACACTCCCCTCTCCCATTTTACAGTTTAATGGGTAATTAATTCCTGGGCTAATGTTAAGCTATAGGTTTACAACAGAGTTACATGCTTCTTGTATGGTGTCATGCTCAAAGTGATCTGAAGTCAGATGGTATCTGAGATCTTTACACCTTCAGGTCACCTGCTTTGATGCAGCGAGGAGGTCATGAGCATGTTGCCCAAAGGTGTACTGATGTACTGAGTGAATGTTGCCCTAGTCTCTGAGGGCCCAAGGCTGTGTTCTCATGAGAGAGACACAGGAGGAGAGACGATTGGTGGTCATTTAAGCCTGCTCGTTACCAATTGACAAGTGAGGTTGAGAAAGTGGGGCTTTCATTGTGACCTTGAACATTGCTCTTGGTGTCTCTCGGCATTGCAAATCATCTGTGCAGCCAACTGAGCTAATTGACCATGAGACACAGTGTGTGAGGGGGTTTCTCTTCCTGTCTCCAAATCACCTGAGTACAGGCCTGGTCCAACTTCACCTGCTTTCATTCGGTGAACTGCATTCATTTTGTTTTCTGTGCTTTGAAAGAGGTTAATGGTTGGTCTCCCTGTTATCAGATCCATGTCTTTGAGATATTACAGCCTTGGTTCAAACATGGACATACGAGCTGAAATCCAGAGGCGAGGTGAGAGTGAAAGACCTTAATATCAAGGATGTATTCAACCGAGTGTGGCATCAAGGAGCCCTAGCAAAACTGGAATCAATGGATATCAGGGGGCAAACTCTCTGGTGTTAGTAGTCATACCTGACACATAGGAAGATGGTTGTGGTTGTTGGAGGTCAGTTAGCTCAGCTCCAGGACATCTTTGCAGGAGTTTTTCAGGGTAGTGTCTTCAGCCCAACCGTCTTCAGCTGCATCATTAATGGCCTTCCCTCCATCATAAGGTCAGAAGTGAGGATGTTCACCAATGGTTGTGCAATGTTCAGCACCATTCGTGACTCCTCAGATACTGAATCAGTCCAAGTTCAAATACATCAAGATCTGGACAATATCTAGATTTGGGCTGACAGGTGGTAAGAAATATTCATGCCAGGCAAATGCCAGGCTATGATTATCATCAACAAGAGACAATCTAACCACCGCGCATTGACATTCAATGGTGTTACCATCATTGAATGCCCCACTGTCAACATCCTGGGGGTTATCATTGACCAGAAACTTAACGGGACTGACCACATAAGCACAGTGGCTACAAGAGCAGGTCATGGAAATATATCGCTGTTCCTTCCGTGCCTCTGGATAAAAATCCTGGAATTCCCTCCCTAAGGGCATTGTGGGTCAACCTACAGCACATGGACTGCAGCAGTTCAAGAAGGCAGCTCCCCACCACCTTCTCAAGGGCAAGTAGGAACAGACAATAAATGCTGACCCAGCCAGTGATACCCATGTCCCATGAATGACTTTAAAAAAAAAATAGGAAAAGACAGGGTAGATAATGATAAAGTATTTCCACTGGTTGGGGATTCTAGATCCCGGGGTCATTTGTCTGAGAATAAGGGACAGTCCATTCAGGAGAGATGTTAGGAAGCACTCCGACACGCAAAGGGTGGGAGAGCGTGACAGTGGATGCTGGATCATTTGTTAATTTTAAATCTGGTATGAGGGGAGGTGATGGCCTAGTGATATTATCACTGGACTGTTAATCCAAAGACCAGACAACATTCTGGGGACCTGGGTTTGAATCCCACCACGGCAGATGGTGGAATTTGAATTCAATAAAAACATCTGGAATTATGAATCTAACGATGACCATGAATCCATTGTCAATTGTCAGGAAAAACCCATCTGGATCACTAATGTCCTTTAGGGAAGGAAACTGCCACCTTTACCTGGTCTGGCCTACATGTGACTCCAGACCCACAGCAATGTGGTTGACTGCTGTATGGACAATAAATGCTGTCTAGCCAGCCATGCCCTCATCCTGTGAATGAATAAAAGGATTGATGAATTTTTGTGAAGCAAAGGTAGAAAGGGCTACAGGCCAAAGGCCAGTGTATGGATTTTGGCCACAGAAACCCTACAGTGTAGGACAGGCCATTCAGCCCAACAAGTCCATACTGACCCCCTGAAGAGCTTCTCACCCAGACCCATCCTCTGGCTAATACACCTAACCTACATAACCCTGAACACTACAGGCAATTTAGCATGGCCAATCCACCCAGCCTGCATGTCTTTGGACTGTGGGAGGAAACCCACACAGAAATGGGGAGAATGTGCAAACTCCACACAGACAGTCACCTGAGGTTGGAATCGAACCCAGGTCCCCTGGTGCTGTGAGGCAGTAGTGCTAACCACTGAGCCACCCATGATCTCATTGAATGGTGGAACAGACTCAAGGGGCTGAATGGCTTGTTTCTGTTCCTATCACTTCAGGTAAACTCATCTTGAAGGGACATCTCATTATCTGCTGGTGCTTTATCCTGAGACATTTTCTGAGCAGTGTGTGGGATCTTGCTGTGTGCAGCTTGGTTACATTTCCTACATTAGGACAGTGACCAGATGAAAATTCTTTATTGACTGCGGAACGCTTTGGAAGGGACTGAGGTTGTGAGAGGCACAGCAGAATTATAACTTATTTTACATCAAAACACTGTATCGCTGTGAAGTCGAGATACTGCACAATCCCAGATATGTGCGGATTAAAACAGAAACTACTGGAAAAGCTCAGCAGGCCAAAGCCTGAGGAGAGAGACACTGGTGACATCTCAAATCTGAGACTCCAGCTCTTTAGAAGTGAAGAGAGATGTAGAAGTGTTTATTTTGTTGCTATCAAAATGACAAAAATGTCAGGGAACAGGAGTTACCAACAGTACAGAGCTTGTCATGTACTTTCTGTACATCTTTAGTATGACTACTACCACTCCTTGTGTCTTCTGACCCATGACATCTTTACCATTTAATCATCCTTGCCTCCTAATGTAGTCTTGACCTTCCCTTTTCTCCTTTCTGACCCCCCTCCCCTTTCTGCAGTATAAAACCCATTGCACTGCTGTTTCTCTCCCCACAGCTGCTGCTGAGTTTCTCCAGTACTTTCTGTGTTTGTTTCAGATCTCCACCATCCTCATTTATTCTGTTTTTACCATGGGCTGTGTGGTCCCTCCCGGAGAAACAATGGTTTATGTTAGGGTTGGGAGGGGAGTGGGTTGTTGCGAGGTGGGGTTGTGCGTACAAGAGTCTGTGATCTGATGGCTGGGTTTTGTTTCTACAGGATCAGCAGATAGAGAGAGAACAGAAAGCACACAGCACGCTGGGGGGTTGCTGTGCTTTGGCCATCGTGTATTTGCTGGGAAAAATCTACATTGCCAATGCAGGTGACAGCAGGTATGCAATCCTGCTGGCCTTATTGAAATGGTGTCAGTGCCGAATGTGACGTGGAACCGGAGATGGGGGCAGACAATGGGATTGTAGCACCCTGAGCTTCCTGGCCCATTCGCTTTGCTTTAGGTATCTGTTGTAGCTGCGCAGACAGCACTGTCTTAAATCAGAAGGGGAGGTGATGGCCTGGTGTATTATCACTGACCACGGCAGATGCTGGAATTCGAATTCAGTAAACATCTGGAATTCAAAGTCTAATGGTGACTAATGTCCTTTAGGGAAGGAAATCTGTGATCAGACCTCCAGACCCACAGCAATGTGCTTGGTTCTTAACTGCCCTGTGGGCAATTTGGGGTGGGCAATAAATGCTGACCCAGCCAGTGGTACCCACGTCCCATGAATGAATTTATAAAAAGCTGGAGACAGTGCAGACCTGTTGCAGAATGGATCAATATTACAGCAAATTTACTTTTTAAGAGATGGGTGTGTACCCTCAGCCCTGACTCCCCATACCCCAGGCCTTGACTTCCATCCACCCCTCATGCCAACTCTGTGATCTCCCCACCACCCCCACCCTTTGCCTGTGACTGTCCCTAACTCTCCCCTCACAGCACTCTTCTCTCCCTTCACCGTTTGGCTCCTGTATGGACCGTCTCCCTGAGCTCGTGTGTGGGAGACCCTGAGATCCCCCTGTGGGTTATACTGGAGTGTCGCTGGTCTGTGATGACCATGGTGAAGTATTTCAGTGGCATGAGACTCTGCTCCAATCCAAACTGGCCCCCTCATAGTGCGACATGTCGTGTGTCACACTGCCCCCCATGACGTTCCCCACCCCACCCCACCCCACCCCTGGCCACTGCAATTCCAAATTGCAGGATCTCCTGGGAGAGATAAGAATACCAAGTTACAAAACCCCAGGTTTAACTAATCCGGGAAGTCTTTCTCCAATTCTGTCAAGCCAAGCCAATCATGGGCCTGGTAATTCCAACCTTCTTGGATAGCCTTCCCCAAAGAGATCCCACGGTCACTGAGAAGGATCCACTCAGCCAGGGAGATCCCAATCTCATTGGGAGGGATCTACTCAGTCAGAGTCCATTGTCCGAAACTGACGAGCCTGTTTCCGAGTGTCAGGATTCTCCAGGAAAAGAGATAACAAGGTGTAGAGCTGGATGAACACAGCAGGCCAAGCAGCATCAGAGGAGCAGGAAGGCTGGTGTTTCGAGTCTAGACCCTTCTCCAGGAAAAGAGCAAGTTCCTGATCATCTAACCCCAGCCTTGTGCCACTTCTAATATCTGTTAAACTATTTGTTGATTTTCTTCTGAATTCCAGAGCCGTCCTAATCCGCAATGGTGAAATTATCCCACTCTCCAATGAGTTCACCCCGGAATCGGAACGACGGAGACTACAGTATTTAGTAAGGAACTGATTCCTGCCTTTTTTTTCCCTCTTTCTAAAATCTCTGTCTTTCCTTCTTTGCCATTCCCATCCCTAAGATCTGAAGCTGTTTTCAATTTGATGATGAACCGACCAGAGACTCCCAGATCAGTGATCCCAGGTGCAAGATTGAAGGCAGGATTAGGCTTGCTGTGCTGCCTTCTCAAGTTGAATAGTCTCTCCAGAACTCTGCTGGTGTGGATCAAAGAGTAACTCTCTCTCACTTCATTGGCCCAGAGTGGCGTGGGTTCCTGTTTCTATTCAGAGTTATGACTGCGCAGATCGAGGCTAACGCTAAGAGTGGCAGTGCTGCACTGACAGAAATACCGGCAAACCGATAATCCGCTTCCACTCTCAACTCCTGTGTTCATCATGTCACAGCTGAACGAGAGTAAACTCAATTCTTTCAGATTCTCTGGGCCACATCTGTTCAAGCAACATCACAAAAACTGGATGGCCTGGTCATTGTCACATTGCTGTTAGAGTGAGCTTGTTGCAGACGGATTCCCTGCTGCCTTTCTTACGTTACCACAGTGACCACACTGGTGTATTTCACCGACAGTAAAGTGTTCTGGGACATCCTGATAGCATGAAAGGTGCTATATAAACGCATGTTTTTATTTACATGTGGAGGGTGAGCTGATAACCATCAGGAGCCTTTTCTTACTGTTAAACCATTTCCGGCAATCTCCTCCCAATCAGCTAGCTCACGAGAGCCCAGTAATTGATCTCAGTGCCATTTACCTGTTACAGCAGACCGTGTGAGGGGCTCAGTAATCTGTGCGCAATTACCCAGTGCGGACCTCCATTGGTCTCATTGCATTACTGCCTCCATCTCAAAACTCACAGCTTCATTACCAAATTCCTTCATGATATCATCCCTCGACATCACCATCACCTCCTCCAACTCCACCACTCCTGAGAGATCCCCATGTTTCTCCATTTCTGGCTGTGAACCATCTGATGGCCATTGCTGCATCGTCAAAGTCATCCTTCATCTGCATAAAGCTAGACATCTGCAATTCCTCCCATCAACCTTGCTCGCTCGCTCACTCACACACACACACACACACACACACACACACACACAATCTGTGTCTCTGTCTCTCTCACTTTCTCTCTCTCTGTCTATCTCTGTTTCCCTCTCTCTCTAACTGTGTGTGTCTTCATCTCTCTCCCTCCGACTCTGCCCCTCTCCAACTCTGCACGTGTCTCCCTCACTGTTTCATCTCTCTCTCTCTCTCGCACACACACGCAATCTGTGTGTCTCTCTCTCAGTCTGTCTGTTTCATCTTTCTCTCTCTCTCTCACCCTATCTGTGTCTATCTGTATTTCTCTCTAACTTTGTGTGTGTATGTCTCCCTTTCTGGTTCCTCTCTCTCTGTCTCTGTGTGTGTCTCTGTGTTCCTCTCTCTCTAACTCTCTCTGTGCGTGTCTCCCCCTCTGTTTCATTCTTTCGCTCTCACTCTCTTTCTCTCTCTGTCTCTCTGTGACTCTATTTGTGGGAGTGTCACTCACACTCTCTCTCTTTCAGTCTGTCTCTTTATATCTCTGCACCCCTCTCTCTATATATGTCTCTCTGTCTTTCTCTCTCTATCTCTCTCTATGTCTCTCTGTCTTTCTCTGTCTTTCTCTGTCTTTATCTCCCATCTTTAAGTCATGCCTTCAAATCTACCTCTTGGTCCAAACTTTAGGACAGCTGTCATCAAATTTGCAGAGGGGGACGATAGTGACGTAGTGGTCATATCACTGGGCTGGCAATTGAGGCCCAAAATAATTCTGTTGGGCAAATCCTGCGTTTGCAGCTGCTGTAATTTAAATTCAGTTAATAATGTCGGAATTGGATTACCTTTGATTATTGTAAACACCCACCTGGGTCACTAACGCCCTCTTCGGGGAAGGAAATCTGCCACCCTTACCCGGTCTGGTCTACATGTGACTCCAGACCCACAGCAATGTGGTTGACTCTTAACTATTCTCTGGGTAAATCAGGATGAACAAAATGTGTCATGGGGTCAAATTTTAGTTAATAATTGTTTAGAGTCATAGTCATAGAGTCATACAGCATGGAAACAGACCCTTTGGTCCAACCAGTCCGTGCCAAACATAATCCCAAACTAAACTTGTCCCACCTGCCTGCTCCTGGCCCATATCCCTCCAAACCTTTCCTATTCATGTATCCATCCAAATATCTTTTAAATGTTGTAATTGTACCCATATCCAACACTTCATCAGGAAATTCATTCCACACTTGAATCACCCTCTGTGTAAAAAAAATTGCCTCATGTCTTTTTTAAATCTTCTCCTCTCACCTTAAAAATGTATCTCCTGATCTTGAATTCCCCATCTTAGGGAAAAGACAACTACCATCAACTTTATCTCTACCTCTTATTATTTTATAAACTTCTATCAGGTCACCTCTCAATTCCTATGCTCCTGTGAAATAAGTCCCAGCCTATCCAGTCTTTCTCTGTAACTCAAACTCCCATACTCAGCAACATTCTGGTAAATCTTTTCTGAACCCACTCCAGCTTGATAATATCCTTCCTATAACTGGGCAACCAGAACTGGCCTCACCAATGTCCTGTACAATCTGAGCAAGATTTCCCAACTCCTATACTCAAAGGACGGAGCAATGAAGGCAAGCATGCCAAATGCCTTTTTAACCATCCTGTCTATGTGTGAAGCGAACTTTAAAAAATTACGTACCTGCATCCCTAGGTCCCTTTGTTCTACAACACTACCCAAGGCCCTACCGTTAATTGTATAAGCCCTACCCTTGTTTGTTGTACCAAAATGCAATACCTCACATTTATCCAGATTGAACACAATCTGCCATTTTCCAGCCCATTGACCCATTTGATCAAGGTCTCTTTGTAATCTTAGAAAACCTTCTTCACTGTCTACTATGTCACCAATTTTGGTATCGTCACAATCTTAGTAACCACGCCTTCCATATTCTCCTCCAACTCATTTCTGTTAAATGACAAACAAAAGAGGGCCCAGAACTGATCGTTGTGGAACACGGCTAGTGATAGGCCTCCAGTCTGGAAAGCAACCCTCCACTATTACTTTCTGTCTGCTGCCGTTAAGCCAATTATGTATCCAATTGGTAAGCTCACCCTGAATCCCATGTGACCTAACTTTACTAATTAGTCTACCACACAGAACCTTGTCAAAGGCTTTACTAGAATCCAAATAGACATCATCAATCTTCTTAGTAACTTCCTCAAAAAACTCAATCAAGTTTGTGAGTCACGGCTTTCCTCGCACACAACCATGCTGACTATCCCTAAACAATTTTTGCCTCTTCAAATGCCCATAAATCCTATCTTTTATAATCACTTCCAACAATTTACCCACAACCGAAGTCAGGCACACAGATCAATAGTCCCCCAGTTTCTCCTTACAACCTTAAACATAGGTACAACATTAGCCACCCTCTGGTCATCAGGCACCTCACTTGTAGTTATAGGTGATGCAAATATTTCTGCAAGGGGTCTCAATTTCCTCTCTTACTTCCCACAACATTGAGATACATTAGATCAGGTCCTGGAGATTTATCCACCTTTATATTCTCTAAGACCTTCCAAACGTCCTCTTCTGTAATGAGAACTGTTTTTAAAACATCAAAGTTTATTTCTCTGCATTCTCCAGATTCCATTTCGTTCTCCACAGTAAAAACTGACATGAAATATTCAATTAGTATCTCTCCCATTTCCTGGGGTTCAACGCAATGAAGACCTCCTTGATCTTTAACAGGCCCAACCCCCTCTCTAGTTACCCTCTTGCTAAGAATGTATTTGTAGAATCTCTCTGGATTATCCTTAAATTTATCTGCCAAAGCTATTTCATATTCCCTCTTTCTTTTCCATATTTCTCTCTCAATCAATATAAAGTGTGTAGGGGCATTCTTGAGAGATTCAATTGAACCAAGTTGCCCATACCTAAAAAAAAATTCTCTTTCATTCTTGACTAGAACCTCAATGTCTTTATTCAACCATAGTTCCATAATCTTAGCAGCCTTACCCTTCACTCTTAACAGGAACAAATTGCTCTGAAATCTCATCATCACGCCCTTGAACGCCTCCCACTGGTCAGACGTCCTTTTACCTGCAAACAGTCTACTCCAATCTACTTTTTGAAAGTTCTTGTCACATACCATTAAAATTTGCCTCACTCCAATTAAAAACTTTAACTTTTATGGAAGGCTCATCCTTTTCCATAACCATTGTGAAAGTAATAGAATTGTGACCATTAGACTCTATTTGATCAGAGGAACAGAGAGATCTTGGGGTGTGTGTGGGGGGTGTGAGGGGGTGATGGAGGTGGAGATGGTGTGGGGTGAGAGGGGGTGATGGCAGGAAAGGCTCATTGGTTGTTAAGAAGGCAATGGGACACTTTTCTTTATCAGTTGTGGCGTGGATTATAAGAGCAGGGAGGTTATGTTGGAGCCGCACAGGACTTTGTTTAGGTCACAGCTGGAGTACTGTATGAAGTTCTGGTCACTGTATTTTAGGAAGATTGTGATTGCAGAGGACATTCACCAGGATGTTGCTGGGATGCAGCATTTCAGCAAAAAAGAGAGGCAGGATAAGCACTGGTTGTTTTCTTTGGAGCAGAGAAGGCTATGGGGGGGGGGGCCCGGATGGAGGAGTATACGATTCTGAGGGACATAAACGAGGGGGTAGGAGGTTTAGAGTGAATTTGAGGAAGTTGTTTTCACCCAGAGCTTGGTGAGGGTCTGGAAAGCTCTGCCTAGAAGGGGAGTTCAGGCAGGAAACCTCCCAGTCTTTAAGGTGAAAACTTGAAATGTCAAAACATTCAAGGCAAAGGGCCAAGTGCTGGAAGGTGAGACTGGAGTAGATTTTGTCTCGATGGGCTGATGGGCCTCTTCTGTACTGTCTGATTGGATCATTGTTCCTGTGAGATGCTGTCTGCTTATGTTAAAGGTACATAAATATAAGTTGTTGTTGTTTAGGCATATTTACAGCCACATCTCCTTGGAAACGAGTTCACACATTTGGAATTTCCCCGGAGAATTCAGCACCGTGAGATTGGACGCAGGATGCTGTTTCGGGATTACAGCATGACAGGCTGGTGAGACATTCCTCTGAGAGTCACTGAATATCGAGGTTGGTGGGGAGGGTGGGTGTGTGTATGTATGTGTGAGGGTGGGTGTGAGGGGGTAGGGGTTGGAGGCGGGGGGTGAAGGGTGGG